GCTGGGCTCAGATTATGTTCACGAAGCGCGGGAAATTCGAAGCGGGCAATGTTTGACGCATAATTTCACCAAAAACAAATATATTTTGAAAAAAAGTTGAACTTATTCGAAGATCTGTTCTTGATGAACACATTTAATTAAGGGGAAAAATATCTTCACAACTGTAGTTTTAAGAAAACGCTGGATTTAACGTTTTTTAAATTTATTTTATTTTCAGTTTTCGAAAAAATTACGTATTTTAACGTTAGAGACCTGCACCATTCTGTTAACCATACTTCGCCCAAACCACAAATTTTAATTAAGAAATTGTGCCTTTTTCAAAAATTTTGAAAATATTCCAGGGGCTTTGGGGAAAGTATCTCACAAAATTAAAATATCTATTTCAAATTCAAATGTCGCGACATCATATTGATTAGGGTATATCAAATTTGGAGAAAATTGGCTGAACGGTTTAGACGCTAGCGTTGTTGACATACAGATGAACAGACGGACAGACGTTTTGCTGTTAATAGGATTTTCTGGATCAAGAACCTCAAAACATGTATTCTGATTTCACCGTGTATTCAGAGGATTTTTTAAAATAAATTTAGCTACTGGCTTGTCCACTTTTTCGTTACCAGAGCCCGGTACTAAGTTTTTCTGCCGAAATTTCGCCTTTTTTACCGCAGCATTACATACCTACTGCGTAAACACTAACGAGAAAGTAAAAAATTGGAACCATTTTTTGAGAAAATTTTGAAAATGTTCCAGCAGATTCATGTGAAATGCCCCCCAAACCTTTATTTACGTCAAAATTCGAAATCAGTTTTCCGCAACATTGCTTTCTCTATAATAAGTGTATTATTCCGGTAATACGTACACGAGCGAGGAAGTAAAAACCTTCGCGCTAGCGGTACCCCCGCTACGTGGTGGCGTTAAAATGTCAATATTCCCAGTGTATTCTATTCATGCATTCTGTCACACAATTGCTAGTACTATAGTTTGTAACCGAATTCTGGACCGACAAGGAGATCGTTAGATCTTCTGGTGTAAATGGTTTGGGATCTAGAACATGCTAATGACTTCAAAAGTAAATATTTTCTAATTTTTTCTTTGTAATACCTAAAATCCCTGTTTCGAATTATCGCAACGTAACTTTCAAAACTTCAAAATAAAATGAGGAATAAATTTAAAAATACTGTTTTGTTCTCGTCTGACCTTGTTTCCAATAGGCTATTGATATCGCCAACAATTTATATTTCTCTTCAGTTCATACTTGGAGGCGTTTTCAAAAGCTAAAACTGGGTCTAAACGTATGTGAAGCGGTGTAGAATCCAAAGTGGGTTGAAATTAATATATAAATGACCATTTGAATCTGTTAAAATCACGTCAATGTTTTCGAAACATAGTGATCACTCAAAGTTGAATGAGAAAATTGAAAGTAGCATAATTTAATATTAAGTAGTATAGTGCATTGGGAAAGAAATCTCTAAAATCAATATTTAAGGAGTAATGCAGATTCGAATGAAATTGAACTAAAGTAATTATCGAAGTTTTAGTGGTTTTAATGCAATCGGATTTATGCCGTTATAACGCAGTTTGCTCTACTCGATCAAAATAAATAAATAAATAAATAAAACTGAGCCACTTTTTAGAAATAAAAAAAACTTGATTTTGCAAAATCTTGAGTGCATTCCAAACGATCGATGGAATGTCCATTTTGGAGAAATACATTGAATGGTTTAGGTGGTAGACTGACGGGCGGTTTTTGAGAGGTTTTTGTCGTATTTCCTTCAAAATATCGACATCGAATTAGTGCAGTATTGCAATATTTTCTCTAACGTTTCCCAGATGGTAAACACTTTGGTTTGAATCTAACTAAATAAATGATTGACAAATTCTTGTTCCGAAATCAGTATAGATATCAGAACATATCGAGAGGTGGTTTCTGCTAATGCAGCTATTGGCACCATTAAACGCGCATACCGTTTTGCTCGTGGGCAAAGTGTGAGGCACGTGCAGGGATTGAAGATCGTGTTGGCTTTTTTAACTGTTGGCGCCAAAAAGGCCTCTGCTTCAGTATGTCCCTTGATTAGTTCGGGCTGTTTTTTCAGGCAGCAGATTTGGTACGTTCGAGCAGTTACCAGGCGCTATCGCCTTGTTTTGCATTGACATTTAACACCTAGTAGAAAATTCCTGGGATCATCCAAAACTTGCCGTTCGGAAGAGAGTAGGACCTGCTTTTTTGTCACCTTCATACTTTCGAAGGCTAGTCCGAGAGAGCAAACCGAGAGCAATGTCACATTCATCTCACCAGGAAGCGGTAATACTGTTCCGTGCTTGTTCTCCGCGCTTTCCTGTGATGATTTGCCTACCGACTAGAATTTGAGACGGTTCCTCGCTATTTTGGGAAGGTTTTAGTAATGAGTTACGCGATGCCCGGTTTTACAGTTTGTATATTTAATATCGAAATTAGAAGTGTGGCTCAATTGACGTGATTCCGTTTTAGTCCTGGGTCAAATGTCAGTTTTCAAGATCAGGATTACCAAGTGAATATATACTCAAAGAGACTTAATGTTCTGCAGTAAATAACAATTTTCCTCTTTTTTTATTTATTTTTATTTTATTTATTTACTTCATAATGGTTCGAATTCCCATTTCATTTAGCAGTACGCCTTCGACATAATTATTTTTGCTACGTATAGCATGCTTCAAATGGCACTCGTTATGATATGACCCAATGTCTTGATGTGGGAGAGTTGCTATTTTGCATTGGTTGTTTTATTTTCTTATAACTCGTTTCGAAATAGAAACACTTTTAATTATAAAATTACCTGTTCCAAAAAAGTACACATTATGCATGAGTACTGAATCACCAGTAAGTCTCGTGTGTCATTAAAAAGCACACGCTCACACAAGTGCAGTCATTTATCGTTAAGACTGCGGCGATGGGGCGCTGGGCAAAGCGGGCTCCAAGGGAGGCCGCGACGGCTGGCGCGGTGTCGATGGCGAGACGGGCGGCCGTCCTGCGCCCAATTAACCCGGAGGTCAATGGACATGACCTCGACGGTCCGCCGCCCAGCGCCCGGGAACGTGACGCTCCCGTGACGTCACGCGCGGCGCGACGTCAATCGCCAGCCAGGATCGGCTCTCCTGCCGTCTCGTCGCCGCGCGCAGCAGCCGCCAACCCGTCACGTGTTTGCCTCGCGCCGCGGCTCCTGTCCCCCGTTTGCACCTTCCCGCGGTGTCCGAAGCACGAAGTGCGCGCGCTCTGGCAGTCGACAGGAAAGTCACTTGCTTAAGAGTTCGTAGGATGGCCGCAGCACTGCGCTGTCCTCGCTAGCGCCCTGGACGTGCGTCTTTCGCGGGGCGAGGCGCGAACCGGAGCGCGCGGGAGGGCGGGTTGCGTCCGACCTTTTCTGCGGGCGCGAACGCGGGTATTTGTAGCGCCGCGTCAGGCGGCGCGTGAGTCAGGCTGGCGCGGGGGGACTCCGGTCGCCTCCTTCGGGGTTTGGCGCACTTGCGTAAGGGCCTGCGCGCGCTCCGGCCCGCCGCCCGCCCACCGCCGCCGCAGTTCGCACCCCCGCGGCTGGCGCGGCTCCCGAGCCTCTCGGCAGAAAATACACCTGTGCTGTGTCGCAGCTTGGCCGGACTGGCGCGCCGCCTCGCGCTGCACCCCAGCGTCACCACCGGTGCCGCTGGGTCACCCGAGCGCGAGCGCGGCACCACGCACCCACCGCCGCCAGCGCACTCGCCGCACCCACCTCTGCACCCGCCTCCGCCCGCACGCACGCCCGTCGCGGCCGCGTCTCGCGCCGCTTCGCCCGGCGACCAGCCCAGGTACCGCCGCGTGCCACCTTTGAAGCCTTTTCCCCGCTCGCCACCCCTCGGTCCACCTCGGCCAAAAAGCCCCGCCCCCGCATGGTGTGCTGCACCCTCTGTGTGTGCTGTTAGTTGTGTGGTGTGTTGTGGCATGCGCGTGCGCGCCGGTGCCACTCGCCCTCGTCAGGGAGGGCTTCGGGCGGGGAAAGCGCGCGCCCCGAGTCCGCCCCACCCCGCCCCTCTGCGCGCCGCCTC